GAAGAGTTGTACTCAGTTGACAACAACATGTAAGTTAATAAATGATCCAAAATTTTCTTTTCAAGATGTCAAATACTTCATCAAATTTCTTTGTCAGTTTGATGTTTATAGAAATAGTTTTAGCTGAGACAGTTATATAAATTAAATTATAAGTTACATAGTTGTTGATTTTAGTGATATTTGCAGGGGCGGATCCAAAGATGTCGAAAAGGGGGGCCGAAAGGGGGGCCGATCGAGACAACAATGTCCTAGGGGGTCCGAGGGCATGCCCCCGCGAAATATTTGTGTTCTAGACGCCCGAAAATAACATTTGAGGCGTTGTGGGCTATCATTTCTTTCTTTTTCTTTCTTTTTTTTCTTTTTTTTCCCTTTTTTTTTACCTCCCAAAAGGGGGGGGGGCCGGGGCCGGGCCGGCCCCCCTAAATCTGCCCCTGATTTGTGTATGTGATTAGGTATGTGTTCAAATGTTTACAAATGTACTGATTGCAAGTATTTTTCTATTGTTTATGTCTCTGTTTGTGCCTAATTTGTTACCTAGGTATTCGCCTGACATCCAGTTAAACATCTGTAACAGGCGTTCAGTTTTGTTTAATCACTTTTAAGCCTATTTCTGTAGGTGACATATAATATTGGGCATTATTTGTTAAATATTGGGCATTTATGACCTTTTACTTTCATTTTTTTTGCATATGTCATTTTCAATTTACACTTGCTTCATGATGCTATTACCATTATTCCTTGTTTACATGATAGGTTATCTTTTAAATATTATCGATCAATTACTCTCATCTCTGTCATCTATAAGATGGAAGGAATAAAGCTAGATTTAGGGCCTACACTAGACACGATAACGACACGACAACGACATATCATCGTGTAGTTTGTGTTCATCGGGTGGATTTAGGATTTCCTAAATAACTGTTCTCAGAATGTTATTTACGGTCCAATAGCTATACCCAATAGGTTAAAAGTTACAATTGGAGTGCCAAAAGCCTCCATACTTACTCTTACTTCATTTTACATGTATGCAGATGACACTGTTATCTGCTAGAAGATGCTAGTAAATGCTACACACACTCAATTGTAAAGCTCTTGATAGTATTAGAAAAAAAGAGCTGATGATTCTTAAATAAGATTCTTCACTTTGTGATGATGGACTTTTTTTATATACTCAAATACAGTTGATAAATTTCAAATAAATCCTTGATGAAGAGCCTGTCCCAGTTAGTGACAACTCTGCCAAAGTGTTTGGTAGTTCGTGTAAAAGATATGCACGGTCTGCTTGGAACAAACGTTGCAATATAAAACACTCCCAAATGTTTATGAATTTGTGTTGTTCGTTCAACTTGCTTTTACTTAAA